ACGCGAGACAGGCGTTCCCCAGCCCCAGCTGCCCCCGCTGGCCTGGGACCAGCAGGGCGTGTGGCCTTGCGACGTGGCAGCCAGCAGGAACCATGGGGGCCGCTCGGCAAATCTGGCCTGGGACTGGGCCAAGCGTTTCCAGAGATAAATCTTCATCTCGCTCGCAAGCTGTTTACCTTCCTTGGGCTAATATTAGTGATTCTCCTCCTGTTTTCCTCTTTGCTCATGTAAAATGATGAGGCCTTGACTGCTGTGTCCACTGCTGGTAATTGAGATGATAAATCTTCCTGCTGGAGACTGGCTTTAATCAGAGCATTGTGTTTGGATGCGATTTAATGACTCTCATGCTGCTGAGCCGGGGCAGGACTCGGGAGAGGTGAGAGCCATTTATGTGTTCCTTGGCTTAACTGCTGCTTCCGTTTCGCTTCCCTCCGCCGGGAGCCATGTTTTCGGCTCCGGCCACTGGCGTAGCAGCCTCCGCCTGATGAGCCGTGCCCCTGGTGTTCCCCCACTCCATCCTCGCCACCAGCGCTCTGCAGGCGCGCGGCCGCGCTGACATCCGCAAACCCACCCTGCACTTCACAGCTGTGGCGCGAGCGCTGGAGAGCAGAGCAGCCCATCCCCGCCTTCTAATCCGCGTTCTGTTGTCCCAGTTTGCTGGGATAGTAAGGAATAAATTCCACCCCTGCCTCTTCTGGCTTCCCTACTAACGTAAACCTTTCTAACTTGGTGTCATACCAATTTGGTCCTGAGGCAGAAGAGGGTGGGTCGGACGCTGAGCCCGGCGGCGTCTGTGAGCTGGGCTTCCCCGGCGCCGCAGCCACGAAGGGCAGCCTGTGGTTCTCCAGGCTTTCCCAAACCGTGCCCAGGCCCCAGGAAAGCCACAGAGCTGTGTGTGTGGGCTGGAGTGCAAAAGGGATGAGTGCTTCCCCGGTGGCTGGATTTGGAGCCTCATGGTAGCAGTTTGGGTGTAAAAATGCCAAGTGCTTTACTGTGGGTTTGTGTGAGGGTCTGGAAGGGTCAGGGCTGGATCCCAGCGCAGCGGCCGTTACAGATCCCCTCCTTTCCTGCATGGCAAGGCTGGCCGAGCATCTCGGCAGTCCCCTTCCGCCGCTGTGAGCTGCTGCTGCGGCGCTTCCAGCGCTTGGGAGCAGCAGCCCTGAGCTGCCCGGAGTCGGTCCAGCAGGCAGGCAGCTCTCCAGAACCCGGGAGAGAGCAGGGAGTTGGAGTTCTGCACCCGAGTGCTTAAGGCAGGAATGTGGCACTGTTCAGATTATTTTCATGGTTAATTAAATTAAGGAAAAATACTTTGGGATGTGGCTGAAGATTCCGCTGGAGCCCCTGAGGCTCGGCCTTGGCGTTGCGGTGCAGCAGGACCGCGGCTTCCTCCCGCTCCCCAGCCCTGGGCGCGCCT